GTCCTGGTATATGTGTCCGTGATTCTGCACTGTTTTGGTTGCATTCGCGTTTTCAAATATGGTACTATTCTTAATTTTTCGTCTCCTAGTATCATATTCGTCATAATTAGGAGGAAGCCCAAATGCCTGCATTATGTTTCACAAAACACGGTTCGTGATCGATGATTGCATTTGATGCGTTAAGCTGGTTTAAAGTTAATCGTGGTCCACTTACCCTGTGGTTCGTGTTGATGTACTCCAGACACAAATAAGTCAATGACCATATTTGTCGTAATCTAGAGTACAGTACCATCATCATCCCATTTGGCTTTGATAATTTTGACATGTTGCATTTGATTTTTATCTTTTGACTTTTTGCATTTAACTTCAATGCTTTGACTTTCTAGCATTTGACCTTTTGCCACTTGGCTTGTCTGCCTTCTATTCCCTTTCACTCAATGCCTATTTGACTTTTTGTGTTTGGCTTTTATCTCTTTGGCTTTTGTCTGTTGACTTCTTGTCCTTTTCATTTTTGGATTTTTGCCTTCTTGCCGTTGAACCTTTATTCTGTTTGGCTTTTTGCCAGTTGACGTCATCTCATTCGACTTTTTGTCCTTTAACTTTTTGTCCCGCCAACGAGCTGTGCACCCGCCATGAGAACGCAGCCACATCGTCAGCTGGACCACGACGCGCTGATGGCCGCCGTGCTGTGCACCCTCCATGAGAACGCAGCCACTTCGTCAGCTGGACAGCGGCGGGCGGATGGCTGCCGCGGTCCAGGCGACGAAGTGACTGGCGCTCTCGCCATGGGAACGCAGACACACGATCAACAGGACCGCGACGAGCTGATGGCCGCCGTTTCTGTGGCATACCCCGTCGCGGACCAATCGCTGCTGATTGGGGCGGCCCCGAGATGGATCGCTGTGGTGTCGCTCTGGTGGAGTGCGTTCAGCAGCTGTATAGGACGGGGAATGGGGCTGCGGAGCTGACCGCTGTAGTGTTTTTTTTGGGGGGGGGGGGAAGGAAACGTTTCACATGTGAAGATTTGCAAGCAAGCATCAGACATGATGGAATAAACTCACTTATAATTATGAGTGTACTTTGAAGTGAAAGGGCTGCTTCAGACAACACAATTTTTATTAAGTTAATATGCTCCTAAACACGCCGTTGTTTGGTAACGTCATGGAACGCCTATATGACGTTCACACATTCCCAGCCTAACCGTGCGAAATTGCCACTCACTTGTAGTGCTTCAAACTCGCCGAGAGATGGTAGCACGGGCCGGAAGTGTTCGCTGAGCTAAATATCACTATGCACTCGTGTGGTGGCCTTTCTCGTGGGGCTCTTGCATATTTATCCGAGACTTTGAGTTGTTTGACTGCATTCGCATGCTCGTTACTCTTAAGTTGTTCTATTACATATCTTATTTCCGTAAGAACTAGCAAGTGACGAAACCATGCCGAGCTCCGTATATTGCGTAACAAACAAAATGTGATAAACGTGGAAAACGTTGTGGAGGTATCACAGGGAATGAACGGGTCGACCAATTGGCCAAGGAAGCCATGACGGCCCTTCACACTACACCCATCCCTGCTGACCACGTCGGTATGGAGACATCCATCCGTAAGTTAATAAACGTCTTGGCAACAGCAATGGACATAAAACGGTGGATTCAAACTTCATGACATCAAACCAATCATTGCATCTTTGACATCAGGAAAACGCACGGACTGTTTCGAGGCGAAGTTGTTACCCGTCTTCGACTTGGACACGCAAAGCTCACTCATCGTTGTTTGTGTTGGCAGCAGCCTCATCCTCTTTGTCATCCATGTTGTCATCTTCTTGCAGTCAAGCATATTATTTCTGAATGTGGCAAATGCCAAGAAGAATGTAATATCCTGCAAACCTATTGCCGTCAGCTTTAAAAACCTATAAGGCGATGATCACCCACATTTGCTTGATATTTTGTTCGATTTCCTATAACGTACAAACGCGCTTCAAATCTTATGAATAATCGTGGGTAACGCCTTTTGTAGTTTCTTTCTCTTCAAGGCGTGAAATGCCACGGGAAGAAAGAAAGAAAAGAAAGAAAAAGAAAGAAAGTAAGAAATGTCAAAAGAAGAAAACAATGCGTGAAATGCGATGGAATGCCGCAAGTTCTAGGCTGAATTCACCTGGCACCTGTCCATTACCACATTGTTACTAGGTGTGAATCTGAAATACATTTTCGTCGTATTGCAGCATTCTTTAACAGCTGCGCTGGGAACGGACTAGCTACACGCTAAGACAACTTCGTTCGGTGCAAAATATTTTCCCGCAGTGCCTCGGCGACATTTAGCTGGTTTACTGGCTTCAAGACTGCCCTCTGGCGTGTTGAGTCTCGGTTGGTTTGACTGGTGCCTCCATTCGTTTCATGCTCTCACATGACCCGACGCGAAGCAAAAACTGACTTGCAGGTTTCCGGGATCTTGAGAGCGATGAAGTGGTCACCCCGTGATATGTAGCGCTTTAAAAGTGACTAACACTTGGGATCATATGTAGGCATTGTTAACACTAACACTAACACTTATTGCGCGCCCCAGCCGCTCGCATGGAGCAGCGAACACTAGCATGAGCGGACAGATCAGATGGCCGCGTTATGGTGCAGGTGGCGCCACCCGATAAAGAACGTGGCGCCATCTGCTACGAGCTCGGTGCACGCCGGATGCAGGTGATTGAGTGGTGTATCAAATCCGCACCAGTTGTCGGAATGGAAATAGCAACGTTCACAATGCAGAGTTTGTTTACTCATAGCTGAAAAACATATAATTTACAACAGGGATAACAACAATGCCTACATATGATACGTGTCACCTTAAAAGCAATTGTCATTGGCCTTCAACACACATGCATCATTTAGGTTTGTTTTGTTCACCGCAGCAAGCCTTATGAAATGCATCCTGAGGTCTGGGAGCTTTTCATGTTTTCTTACAAAATGGCTCCTGCAGCATTAAACAATATCTCATGGCTGTATGTGGTAGCCCTGAATCCCAACAATGTTGCTTGAGTAGCAATAAGTCTGTGACGCAATGTTATTACTATCCTTGCTGTACGCGGCATCACAGAAACCGTGGCGATGTTGTGGGGTGGAACATAGATCGTAGAAAGGGGGAAATTTGGGTCATTTCAAAGCTTTCTTGTGGTGTATATTCCGTCTTATTGCAAGATGCATTCACTTATGAACAGCAAACACCAGACAAGAGCCTGCGTATGGTTCTAGAATACGGGTTGTGACGTTGCGGCGATTGTGACGCATTCGAGTGGTGTTTGTACCGATGTATGGTGTAATGGGATGAACTTGAAGTGAGGAAGCTTGGATAACTTGAAATATCCAGCATTTTTTACTCAGTCAGTGTAAGCAAGTAGTTGATGTATACAATTTTAAACGACATGGTCTGTGGGCTACTTGAGCGCCCGGCCGCCGACGCATGGCAAATTTCAGGCCGCCCCTCCGCCAAACGCAAGCCACCAACCGCACGCGTTCTCCGCCAATCAACAGCCAGAACTCGCACTGGGCCCGATGCAACTCGCGTAAGCCAATAACCAGCGGCCTTCCCAAGTTCTCCGCAAATCACATCCCGCAAATTTGACGCTGGCCAGCCGGCACCTCCAATCGCAAGCGGGCATCGCTGGCGTAGTTTTTCTTTGTACAGTTATCTCGGCACTGGGGTGCGTGGGCATGCGTGGCTCCGTGCAGTTGTGACGCTTACATCGCCTCTTCCGTAGCAGTTCATATGCATGTTAATAACACCACTTTTTCTAACACCACTTTCCGCCCACTCCCCCTAATCCTTGAGCTCCCCCCCTCCCCCCCCCCCCGCCGCCGAACTCGCCGAATGCACACCAGTCTCTGGTACTTTGCAGCCCCGCTGAATGAGGTGTGTGGTGCACCATGTGGACTGCACCTGCAGCAGAGGCGTGTTGAACTTCCATTTGCACGGGATTTTGAACCAAACTAGCCATTTTGAAGATCACTCCGTGCATTTACACAGTGAACAGCTCTGTTCTTCGTCAGACCTAATCCCCTCTAGTTTTTTTAACTAAACGCCCGTGAAGGTGCGCAGACTATTTCGGGGGACTATTTCAAAGCCCATGACAGGCACCTATGACGTCATAAGGTCGTTCAAATCCTGCTTTTCCATTGGCCATGCAGTGATCGGGGGCAAAAAGTATATGATTGCTGAGTCGTTCATATCAGGCGTTGGTGAATGGTGAGCACGATTCCCAAAGTAGTTTTTGCCCGATTTTTTTTTTGCACTACGTTACCCTTGATTTCTCTGCATTTGCTCTCCGGGCAAATGCAGGGAAATCGAGGGTGGAAGGCTCCTTGACGATCGGATTAACCCTGTAAATGAACATCCAGGGTCACGGAAACATGGTGGGGTCTCTGGACAGGGCAATGGGACTGAAAATCTCTTCATCACCACCCTTTTAACCGATGAGAAATAATTGTTGTCTTCTGGCGGTCCTTCATTTTGGCTTGCGATTTTTCTGAGCCGTCTGCAAGCCCAAAGTCGTTTAATTTTGTTGCCTTTTTTGTTCAAAACTGCATCGGCTCGGCCGGCTTGGCCCATTCAGAGCCTAAATGCTTCTTCGGGGCCCAAGAGGACATGACCTCGTCCCCACCACCCCTCTGGATTCGCCCCTGATAGAACCATATATATATATGGTTCTGTTCACTGTTTTTGGTAAAGACTACCAGTATTTGGATTATTCAACCTAGTTTTTGGGTGCTATAAAAAGAGATCTAGTGCAGAAATGCAGGTTCTGGCGTTGTGAGGTGTTGTTACCAGAAGTATTATTAGCCTATATCGCATTATGCTGAAAGTATTATTACCATACGGTGGCTATGAGTGACGACATCATCAGCTGTCACGCAGGGACACGCGGCACATCTAGAATACCTGCGCCGCATTCAACGACGGCGTTTATTTACATCGAAGGAGCGTGTGGGGCGTCCTGTTGACAGTGGCAAGGTGACGGGATTTTTCGGAAGCATGCGAGAACGCGAGATGTCATTGACATGATGTTTGAAAATAATGCCCTTGCATTATTAATTACTCCAGTTTTGCAAGGGAGTATAACTGTTGGGACCCATGTTTTAAAGTTCTAAATCGAGTGAGTTGGAGAATGCCGGCTTAGGTTGCGTTGTAGACACGTGACCTGTGATGATGATTTCATGTTGGCGATACACAGCGGTGCCATTGATGATGCGGATTATTGTTCCGAAAACGATAATTGAATTTTGACCCATTCTTCAAGGAAAGCTTGGTTGCACGTTGGTGGACTGCACCTGCAGCGGAGGCGTGCTGAATTTCCAGCTAGGGCAAATTATGCAGAATTTTCAGATAATTTTCTTGAAAAATATTCTGAGCACATGTTTATCTGGAGATAAGCTTAGTAACATCATATTGTCATTACAAATAGCTTTCTCTGAGCTGAAATTGGTGTTAGACATCCACTAACCTTGGGATCTCATCTTTACAGTGTGTGCATTGATGCTGTTTGTTGGCTATTGCTGCTATTCTATTTGATATAGCATACATTTTGCAGTGTGTTGTTTATTTAAAATGTCTGTACCTCCATTGACACCAATGTATCAAGTACGATTTTTGTCTGAACATTCATCTACTCCGACATCAACAAACATCATATAGTACTTGCAATGTTTAGATGGGAGATTCTGTCAGTTTCTGCCAGGTGGTTTTAAGGACTTAAAAACAGGCTGGTGGAAGGGAGATGACAGAAGTGCTAGTAACATTATCCAATCAGAGGTTGAATGTTGATGGATGTGTTGGCAGGTCAAGGTGTCCTGTCTAGGTGCCTTCATGATCAAGAGGTTCTGCTGAGTTGGTTAACTGTATCCACTTTTCAGGTGCCTTTTTTGTTACATGTGAATGCCATGTTAAAGCAGGTTTTGTGTCACTCTGAAGATATTGTTCAACCAGAGTGAAACACTACTACTGCTATCAAGTCTGCAATCTTGTTGACTTTCTATTTGGAGTCAGCTGGAAAGACAAGTGTTACATTAAACCTTGGAATGGTAAGTTTACTTTCCACTGCATTATGTAGCTATGTTCTTATATGTATTCAGCTTGCATAGTTGTAGCCATTCTTTCATCTATCATGCCAGGTGCTGCCCCATGAATGATAAAATGACCCATCCTTACATGTTTCTTGTGATGGCAGCTCCTGTGTGCAGCCTGTGCTGCTTGTACCTACCTTCTGTTTCTGGTCTCTGTGCCCATGGGAACATGCTGACTGGGACCATTGTTTAAGATGCCATGGTTTATTTTGCAGGCTGACTGTGTAGTGCTTATTTTACTTCATCTTGTCTCAACATTTTAACATCTACAATCACTTTGTGTTGTGGTCTGGCAAGTTTGCACTGGCTTGTACTCTGACCACACAGACCCGCATAAACATTGTGTTTCTTGTTACTGGCAGGTCACTCATCAAATATGTTGCTTGTAGCCTGTAACATGTGACCATTCAGCCATTAAGTGGACAGGATTTGCATTTTCTTTCATCCCTTCCATGGTTACCAAAGCTACCATCGCTGCTGTGCCTCTCGCTCTCCTGCTTCTGCTGAACTGTCAGAGATACAGGTCCACTGAGGATGATGGCAGAACTGACAACAGGATGTGGCTTGACAGTGCATGACCTATCTTGACTTTGCCATTTGACCTGTCACTGCTCAACTGTTTCACCCATGTAGAAGCAGCATTTGGATAAATTGCAGGTCATACACAAAATTACCATTGCTTTTGATTTTTTTAGATAGCATGCCAGGTATACAGAATCTTCAAGGGGTTCATTCTCACCCTCTGCAGTAGGCTGTAAAATAGCTGAAGCTGGTGTGGGCTAAGTTGCTGCAAAATTTTAACCAAATGCAAGGAGGTGGCACTTATCGCGACATGACAAACGCAGTTATCGCAAGTCGCACAATTTGTCCCATGTTTCGAGATCTACCAAACTTCTCGGTCAGTAATGATGAAATATGTGCGAGTTTGGCCGGGAATTGGCGTACACCTGACCTGAGAGCTGCCGCGTCCCGTTCATTTAGTTTCTAACGATTTTACGTCGTACCCGAACGTCTCCATGGTGGAAAGATTGTAAAGGTCAGCACAGCCTATTAAACACGTGATGGAAGTTAGCAATGTCATTGACCTTTTCAAATGTTGTTCCATGTCCAGGCCACATGGGGTTAATTTGTGAAGCGGACATGACATTTCTTCATAAACCCCTTAAATCATGAGCTGGCAGGTTCGGCGATGGGCTCTCGTGCGCGAGGTCGTAGTGATGTTATATCTTTTTGTAGTGAATGGTGGCATGCTTTAACTTGAACACTGCATTCTGCTATCCCGTGAAAGCTGACTGAATAGAAAATGACTTCATTTAATGTCTGACAGGCATTTGCGAGCGATAGCTTAAAATGGCCTTAGCAGTAGTCGTAGACCACGTGCTGGGTTGCCATCCTGACCAGCACTCAGCTGGTCTACAAAGTGTCAAGTTTTTCGCCCAGTGCAAATGAACCTGGGTTGATAAAATGAAGGAAGCATTGACCAATTCGCAGGATATCCACCAGACGCGAGTCAGCGGCCCGTGCTGAAGCGTCAGTCTGCCGAATTCTAGTGTCTTTTGCCTTCATAAAATATTGTTTACTTATCTCTTTTGAGTGCGTGATAAGTCTACGTTCCCTGAATGTTTTGCCGCTTCGTGATCATTTCTACGTGGCTTGTTTCATGGAAATGGGACGGAAGGGTGATCAAAATCTTATCGCTATGTCTCGTTTAGATTGACAGATATTTATTGTGTGGTCAGAGGCAATCCGTGGTCTAAAACCAGCGTGATAGTTTTCCAAGCGGTAATCACGAAGCTCTGTCTTGCAGTATTCTCTTCAGTATAAGAAGGACAATGCCCATGATGACTGCATCTGGAGTTGCGCTTGGGGCCGGTACAAACCCAAGCCAGCCGATGCGACACCAGCTGCAGGGTGAGTATTGTGAGGTAAACGAAACACGCTGAACCGCGCCTGAGTGTCAACTTACTGAAAGGCCACGTTGGTGGTTTAACAATCAACTGTTGGTTCAGCTTTTCGTAAATGAGTACATATGGAAGAGTTTCCAGGGTAGCACGGAAAACCTTGATATCGTTTAGTACACATGGTATCATTCTTCAACTAAGATTTCATTCAAGGCAGCTTACGTGTGTAAAAAGAGCCCACTGTGCTAAACAGATGTTAACCGAAACCGGTGATATGAGCCGGCAAATAATATGTTCGATGTCACGGCCAGCGATGCCATTTTCTGAGTATGGAAGGAAATTTGCAAAATCAAGCCAGACGGAAACCCTGAAAAGTCCAAAACGTCTATCAACACTTAAACTATCGAGGGTTACCAGTCGAATGTGTAAAAGTGATTCGTTTAATGCCGCAGAATGAAAAAAAGATGTTCTGATATCAAACCTTGTGTCGCATTCCGGCCTTAAGCCAACTCAAATGCCCCACAACGCATTCGCCATCATTTGCCACGTGTTGCGCGTCTGCTGGTGTGATCCCTGCGCTCGATGGGAGCGGTGCTACGATGCTGCATGCGCGAGGCTCGGTGGACGCTGACCGGGCCGGCGCTGGCAGGGAGCCGGCCGCGGACGAGTCGGAGCGGCCAGCGCCGGCGGCGCTCCCCTCCGAGCTGGTGCTGACCGGCGCGCTGGACGATACGGTGCGCGTCTGGGAGTGGACCGACGGTCAGCTGGTGCCGCGCCACACGCTCGAGGGCCACGCGCTCGGCGTCATGTCCGTCGACATAGCGGCCGACGGCCACGGTTAGTGGTGGCGCGGCGTGCGTGCGCCGCACTTGCCGCTGCGCGCCGGCCCGCACCGCGCTCCTGTGCCGGCGTGCCCCCGGCTACGGTCCAGCAGCTGCGTGGTTATCTGTTCGTCTTGTTTGATACTGAGCGAGGTGTTTTATGTCGAGGGGCGCTTCTCGACGATTCCGGTGGGAGTGGTGATATGCGCTTTTGCTCCGTTTAGTGGCTATCACACCTTCGTAGTTGGCAAAAGCCGGTCTGCTTATTTCTCCATGCCAGTCGCTTGAGCCGGTCAGCTAGTTGTAACTGACCCTCGCTGGCCGAATCTCAGGGTGAATAGTTTCATCTGTGCATCATCTTTTTTACTTGGTTGGTGGCTGCAATCATGATTGAAGCATTGAAATGAATTTGGAGTCGTTTTGTGTGTCCACTCAGCATGGACAGGCGAGGGGAGACAAGTTGATTTCGACATCATGCATGTGATTAACTTTTTTAATTGCATAACTAAGTGCAAAAATTAAAACCTCATGACCCTACTTTATCTGAAGATGCATATATCACACGATGTAAAGTTGACAGATTGTGGACAACCCGTCCACTTCTCTGTAGCAAAGGACCTCACAAGTTCACTTTGGCTCAAATCAGGGTGATTGCCAGTGTCCGGGCTCGGCGTGAATTGTCCCAAGCATCACATTTTTATGTAACTTGCTTAAAAATGCTCTTCGGGTCAATGATTAAGATGCTTCAGCCCAATTTCCGATGAAACCGACAAATGACTGTTCACAATGGCACAGGAAGCTGCTAATGACAGCCTTTTTGGCGTGTGTTGGAAATATGTGTATGCGAATTATTAACTGATTGGCGATCGTTTCATTTTAGTGAAATGATTGTCAGATCTCTGTCACGCACTCCAGCGCTTTGATGCGGTCCCCACTGTGACACGGACTTCAGATCGCTGGCAGGGACTCACGATGTCTGGCTCGGTGCTCCGCCCTCCTAAATGGCGTTCTGTGTCTTGACATCCACTCTTGCGCCGTGGTCCAGCCAGTCATTTTATGACTGAGTTCTTCCGCTCTATGACTTAGATGCTCAGTCTCAAGCTGTTCCTCCCTGCCGGATGCGGTTACTCGCTGTATAGCGTATCCTCTCTCTCTTTTACACAGTATCCCACTGAGGTGGGGCCTTGGGCCCCATGATAGTAACTATACGGCTCCCTAGCACGGTGTCCCGTTCGGGTACGGTGTCCCGCTATGTGACGCGACCTCCCACTGTTGGGCGTGTTCCGCCCTTTGCCCCACACATCCTTGTGTGACTCGTCTCTGAACACTCGTCGCTCGATGTGCGGGCAGTGGCGGCGTCGAGTTCGCTGGACTCGACCATCCGACTGTGGGACCTGGGCACCGGTGGTCTGCTGAAGACCATCGACGCCGGCCCGGTCGAGGCCTGGTCCGTCTGCTTTTCGCCCGACTCTAAAATGGTCGCCACCGGCTCTCACCTGGGCAAGATCGTCGTCTACGGCGTCGAGTCGGGTAAACAGGAGCAGAGCTTCGACACCAGGGGCAAGTTCACCTTCAGCATCGCCTACGTGAGTGGCGTGCGGAAGCCGGGGTTGGGGAGAGGGAGGACCTGTGATGGTGTGCGGTGGGGTAGGTAGTCGTCACAATCGGTTGGACTGCAGGCGCGCCTTCTAGATAGGTTTGGTCTCGTATCGCGGCTTAGGTCGGAGCTATTGTTCGTCCGATGCATGATGTGAAGGTGGCATGAGTGAGATCAGGGATTGTCTTGGAGACACAACCAGATCTGTATGGCCAGTTTACATTTTACATGCAACTTTGCCATCTTGCACATAATTAGTTTTTGGTTCTAACGATTTCTGCATCGGAGTGACATTGGGGGGAGTTGTTGCTAAGCGCAGTTTGATAGACGTTTGGTGCGTGTACGCAGACCGGCGTCCCAGATTATTCAAACTGCAGAGTAATTTTGCCCTTAGCCAAACTAGCGTCGATTTTTTGGAGCATGCCAACTGTCATACAAGGCCGCCTCAGTAAACGCCTTCCTTGCTGGGGAATTCGACGCTGGTGAGATCAAACCAAAACAGTGATGTGCCTCGAGCTCGCGTGTGTTTGTTACGTGCAAACGCAGCATGCGTACCCCACTGGCTGTGGGACAATGCCGGCACGCTTACCACTATACCGGCACAACGGGGTGCAGCGGTGTTTGTCCCTGACCGAGCCGCCCGGCCCACACGCAGAGTCCAGACGGCAAGTACCTGGCCAGTGGCGCCATTGACGGCATCATCAACGTGTTCGACATCGAGTCGGAGCGGCGCGTGCACACGCTGGAGGGGCACGCCATGCCCATCCGGTCGCTGGCCTTCTCGCCGGACTCGAAGCTGCTGCTGACAGCCTCAGACGACGGGCACATCAAGATGTATGATGTGTAAGTGCATCACTGTGCCTCCGCGCCTTTTCATCTGCGAGGGATGTATGATGTGTAAGTGCATCACTGCGCCTCTGCGCCTTTTCATCTGCGAGGGATGTATGATGTGTAAGTGCATCACTGCGCCTCTGCGCCTTTTCATCTGCGAGGGATGTATGATGTAAGTGCATCACTGCGCCTCTGCGCCTTTTCATCTGCGAGGGATGTATGATGTGTAAGTGCATCACTGCGCCTCTGCGCCTTTTCATCTGTGAGGGATGTATGTGTAAGTGCATCACTGCGCCTCTGCGCCTTTTCATCTGCGAGGGATGTATGATGTGTAAGTGCATCACTGCGCCTCTGCGCCTTTTCATCTGCGAGGGATGTATGATGTGTAAGTGCATCACCGCGCCTCTGCGCCTTTTCATCTGCGAGGGATGTATGATGTGTAAGTGCATCACTGCGCCTCTGCGCCTTTTCATCTGCGAGGGATGTATGATGTGTAAGTGCATCACTGCGCCTCTGTGCCTTTTCATCTGCGAGGGATGTATGATGTGTAAGTGCATCACTGCGCCTCTGCGCCTTTTCATCTGCGAGGGATGTATGATGTGTAAGTGCATCACTGCGCCTCTGCGCCTTTTCATCTGCGAGGGATGTATGATGTGTAAGTGCATCACTGCGCCTCTGCGCCTTTTCATCTGCGAGGGATGTATGATGTGTAAGTGCATCACTGCGCCTCTGCGCCTTTTCATCTGCGAGGGATGTATGATGTGTAAGTGCATCACTGCGCCTCTGCGCCTTTTCATCTGCGAGGGATGTATGATGTGTAAGTGCATCACTGCGCCTCTGCGCCTTTTCATCTGCGAGGGATGTATGATGTGTAAGTGCATCACTGCGCCTCTGCGCCTTTTCATCTGCGAGGGATGTATGATGTGTAAGTGCATCACTGCGCCTCTGCGCCTTTTCATCTGCGAGGGATGTATGATGTGTAAGTGCATCACTGCGCCTCTGCGCCTTTTCATCTGCGAGGGATGTATGATGTGTAAGTGCACCACTGCGCCTCTGCGCCTTTTCATTTGCGAGGGATGTATGATGTGTAAGTGCATCACTGCGCCTCTGCGCCTTTTCATCTGCGAGGGATGTATGTGTAAGTGCACCACTGCGCCTCAGCGCCTTTTCATCTGCGAGGGATGTATGATGTGTAAGTGCACCACTGCGCCGTCTGCGCCTTTTCATCTGCTAGGGATGTATGATGTGTAAGTGCATCACTGCGCCTCTGCGCCTTTTCATCTGCGAGGGATGTATGATGTGTAAGTGCATCACTGCGCCTCTGCGCCTTTTCATCTACGAGGGATGTATGATGTGTAAGTGCAGCACTGCGCCTCTGCGCCTTTTCATCTGCGAGGGATGTATGATGTGTAAGTGCACCACTGCGCCTCTGCGCCTTTTCATGTGCGTGGTTTACCTGTGGCGTGGTGTCCGTATGTGTGTATTTGGGTTCGTGCGTGCTCCACTTTTGTACGGGTTGTGCCTCTGTCTCAGCCTTTGTTCCTGTTTGTGTCTGTGTGTCTCTGCATCTACGTGTGTGTCTTCGCGTCGTTGTGCGTGTGTGTGTGTCCACGGCTGCCTGTGTGCTGCTATGTTGGTTTGTGTGTTACTGTGCATCTATATATGTCAGAACATCTCTGTGTTTGCCTGGGCCTCTGTCTCAGACACAGAGTCTGTGTCTCCATGACGTTCGCTCAGTCACTCCGTCCCCGTCTGTATGTGCGCAAGTGTAGCTCTTGTATCTGTCTGTCTGCGTGCGTGTCTCTTGCCTCTTCCTGTGCCTCTCTCCGTCCCATTGCTTGTTTCTTTCCCGTCCGGTCCCATGGTGATATTCGCTGTTGCACTTCCGTCCCTATTCTCCGTGTACTTAGGCCTCGGCCCTGGTGCTTTATCGCGGCTGGACGTGTTAGGGGGGCCATTCTGTGGCGTGTTCCCAGCTTCCCCAGGCGTGACTAGCTGTCAAATGTCCAGGAGCGATGCAGCGACGTCCGTAGGCGGCCGACCGGTGCCGCGTTGGCTGACGCTCGTGGCGTGTGCCCGCCGCCAGACACCACGCCAACCTGGCCAGCACGCTCTCCGGCCACTCCTCCTGGGTGCTCTCCGTGCACTTCGCCGACGACCACAAACACTTCGTGTCCAGCAGCACGGACAGCACGGTCAAGGTGTGGGACACGGCCTCGCGGACATGCCTGCACACCTTCCAGGACCACTCGGACCAGGTGAGCGTGAGAGGCCGGGTGTCGGCCCGGGCCAGTGCCGCGCCGCCGCTCCGCCGCGCGGTGCGAGGACCACTCGGACCAGGTGAGCGTGAGAGGCCGGGTGTCGGCCCGGGCCAGCGCTGCGGTGCCGCGCCGCCGCTCCGCCGCGCCGGGCCAGCACCACCCGGACCAGGTGAGCGTGAGAGGCCGGGCACCGGCCCGGGCCAGCGCTGCGGTGCCGCGCCGCCGCTCCGGGCCAGCACCATCCGGACCATGTGAGCGTGAGAGGCCGGGCGTGGGCCCGGGCCAGCGCTGCGGCGCCGCGCCGCCGCTCTGGGGCTGCCGGCGACCGGCGCCAGTGTGCCGCCGCTGCTTGCCGCCTTCCAGCGCTGGCTGGCCGACAGGCTGCTGGGTGGTGTGTGAACCACGGCCAGCTCAGCTGCCGCGTGATTCGTCCTCCCGCTTCAGCAGCCGGTTCACCGGACGGGGGTCAAGAACTAGGATACCAAAGTGCGTGCCATCACGTTTGGCTAGGTCATGGCATGTGTTCTTATAGTCGGTCGTAGCTTATACATAGCTGTCATAACTGTCAGAAGCAGCCACTGCCATACATTTCCAACGCACTCCGGGCGGTCCCGGATCGGCCCCAGATTACCGAGACAATCACTCAGGCGGCCGTGGGGTTGACAGCAGGTGATCACCCACGACCCCCGTGTTTTCACGCCTGAGGATAGGTGGAATGACGAGTAAACCACCTTCTGTAGATCCCAACAAGGTAAGCATGGGAAGTGCATAACAGGACTGCAGTTGTCTTAAAAAGGTGACCCGCTGCCTTCGACATCCCACGTGGGGGTCCCGTTTCTATTCCCGGTCGCGCCATGGCCTTTGAGCGCTACCATGGCCACTGCAGGCGCTGGTGCTCCAGGAGGGGGTGCGCGACAAAGTGCGGCGCGTTTCACTTTTGAAAGAGGTAAACTATGGTCACTTGCATGTTATCTGTGCGACACTCTCAGATGTTGTTATGGCATAATGTCATAGAGGTTGAAATTGTGACAGAACGCCTACGAAACCAATACATGGTATTACAATCTGGGCTGTGAGGATGAAATTGTGACCGAGCGTTCACGAAATCAATACAACATTACTTTGAAGGTTCAACTGAAAACCGTGGCAGTTAGATTCGATCTCCCGGGTTTCTTTCCGAGGAAAGACAGTAAAAGCATGAGGCTGTGAGGTTGCTAAAATTCGTATGTCTCATCGCCTTGGCCGCGTTCTCCATTACCAACAGCTGTCCAGAAGTTGCAACCCGTTAACCGTCAGGGGTAAGTGCGTCATAACAGTCCCTGCAGCTTGGGGGACAGTCTTATGTTTATGACGTAGGCACTTGCGGTGTAACAGCTAGCAGCTCAGGCAGGTACTTTGCCAGTGGTGCCAATGGGAAACACAGCCCTGGTATCAACTACATTGCACTGATCGGGACGAGCTGTGATGCAGGCTGGCGTCTCGCCTCTGATCGGGACGAGCTGTGATGCAGGCTGGTGTCTGGCCTCTGATCGGGACGAACCGTGATGCTGGTCGGTGTCTGGCCTCTGATCGGGACGGCCAGCTTGCGTTGCCGCGTCCGCGCCTGGTGTGAGCGGGGCCTCTGTGACCGGCAGGTGTGGTGCTCCCGCTATAGCCCCGGCTCGGAGCGCATCGTCTCCGTGTCCGACGACCGCAGCGTGCACGTGTACAGCTGCCCGACGTGAGGGCCGCCGGCGGAAGGCAGCCCAGCCCCGCCCAGCTGTTGCGAGGCGGCCCCCCACCGGCCCCGGCGGCTCCGCGCCGCCACCACCGATTGGCGAGACGACGGCGCCGGCTCCGCCGCGGCGCCCTGCCTGCTGTGATCTGCCGCGGGAAGACGAGGTGGCCGGAGGGAGCAGCCACGGGTCGCAGCGTCCAGCCCGGCCCGGCCCACGCACCGATGCTGTCGAGGCATGCCATGTATTGCCAGGCTGCTCTGCGAAATATACACGGCCGCCCGTCGGTGTGGCGCGACTGCCGGGACACTGTCGTCATCCGTACCCAGCGCACTGCGCTCAGTGGCGATAGACGCGAGGGCTGGGCTCGGTATCCAAGGGCCGTGCATCCTAGCCGGCGGTGCACGGATGCCAGCTGTGGACGGCAGGCGCAGCGGGCGGCGGCTGCGCACTCCGCTGGCGGCAAGACCGGCGAGCAGCGAGATACATACGATCGGCGAGCAGCGAGATAAATATGTTCCACTATGGTATCGGTACATTACAGGCCCACCCCTTGGTTAAAAGCACACCGTTGCACAGTCACTGCCGGGGCCGCTCGACTTCACGGCTGCTCTGGGCAGCCCCTCATACCACCGTCAGAAAGGCCACTGATGATCACTGGTCCGAAGGAGGCGCCGGCGGGACGCATCCGGTACAACCGGTAACCGAACGAGCTGGGGTATATGCACCACGACAACCACTGTATCTGGCGCAATGACTTTTGAACGCTTCGGTCTCAGACGAACGTGTTGCGGGGCACAGGCGGTCGTGCGTCGGCGTCCGCTTTTCGCGCTTCCCACCAGGTGGCGACCATGTCGAAACCGTGCCCGACAGTGGTCGACACCTTGTCGGCCACGTCGCTTGCGGTCACCGACACCTGCCGGAGGACGGTGTCACTGACCCAGCAACATCCATGGCGCGGGCAAACGGTTGACGCCGCGCAAGAGGCGCAGCACATGCGCAGGCCACGACCCAGTGCGCTTAATGTGGAAATTGCGACGGCGATTTATATTCGCCATTCACTGCGATCACGGTGGCTTATGAGATGACACATCTAACTGCGAGGGCACTGGCAGATGACAACGAAATCTGACCGATAAGAAGTCTCGAGCGCACACCCTCGCGATAGTGAGTCAATAATTCTACTTTTGCGTCATTTCCACGACTGCTGTGCCTCGAGATGGTAGGGCCATTGTCAGCGTCGGCGACCAATGTGTGAAAGAGAGTGGTACGGTTTTCCCACGACGCAAGACCACTGGAAAAAACAATTTCTCTGAGAATGGATTCATCCGTATTCAATAATATTCCAAGATGCGCAGTGATATCGCCGCTTGCTTTTTGCAGAATTAGCTAATGTAACGTTTCCATCTGAGACGCTAACACAAACAGCTCATTCGTAACGTGTAACGCGTCAACATACCCGGTACCGTCGCATTGCTAAGACGTGCTGTAATAAAATGAAACTCAACAGCTAAATGTCAGAATGCACTCATGTTTCAAACGATACTGCTTTGCAACGTCTAAGTCTAAAACGTTACGTAAATGCCCCCTCTTCCGAGGCTGATCGCGAGTTCCCCTTCCCATCCCCACTGTAGGTACTACTTATACACGCTTGCACGAAACGCGTCAAACCTCTGCGATTAATTTAATCTGAGCCATATGAAATTTTGCGGTCTGCTCCAAAACTCGACGCAATGTCTGGTTAGACGGAGGTCTGAGAGTCTTTGTCAACAGAAAACTTGTTCTGGATGCTTCTGGATTCGAAATTCGCGTAGCTTCTTAGGTCCCATTGGCGAAGGTCGTTATGTCAGTAAAAGGACTTTCAACTTACACTGTAAAGCTTGTCCAAGAGCGTCCAACAGTCCAGAGCATATTCCTACGCTCGCCCATAAGTTACTGGGATTCTGCGTGTTTTCGCTTTTTAAGGACCCCTGGGAGTTCAAAATACACTTAAAGGTTTCTATGAAAGCGTTTTCAGGATTAAGTATCCTGATTTTTTTATTGAACTCTTGAAAGAGTTGCATTCCAGTATCATAAGCCACGGTCACATGTTGCAAACGCAGACAGCCGGCCGGTCAGGGACCACCCGTCCCCCACTTGGTTCTGGTTATCAGTGCTTATCTTGTCGGCAGGCCGATAACATGCGGTGGTAATGGCCAGATCGCCCGGCGCTGGCCCAGTGCTGGTCCGTAGCACGCTTGGGTGGCGAGCGTGTTCTCTCGCACTAAGTTGTCTTGCTGTAGCGGCCGATGTCTGGAAAGTTACCGCTGCGAGGGCGCGTGACTGCGTGACTACGTGAACACGCGACCCTTATATCCCTCGTTAGGATATGCGCGGTTCTACGTCAAATGGATCGACTTGGTCCACTCCATCGCCAATTGATGGCATTCGGTGCCGGCGGAGCGTCCCATGATGAATTATCGTAGCCAATTCGTAGATTTTGAGTGTTTCGGGTCACGCCAGAGGTCCTATCTGTATTTTTCGCTGGTGCAGCTTCAACAGCAGCTCAGGTCGTCATAATGATGAGTACAATTAACGTGACCCCACAGCCCACTACTGTTTAAAACCACTTTTCGTCCCATTCAAACGTGTGTTGCGTGGCGTGACGTCAATGTAGCCCCTGATCCGTCGGGATCAAATTGTTCCTTTGCATGTTTTATCTCCTTGTGGCATACGACTGCACCATGATTCACGTGTCACGCCGTAACGTATCCTCATGTTTATGTCGTAGGATATTTCTGAGCACATTGGAACGTTTGGCGGTGAAAGGATTGTCGTGTCTCGTGTTTACTTCACATATAATGATCATTAACTATTCGCAAATTGGTCTCACCGGTCTTTCATGTCTGTATTATACTACACCATGTATCTATTTTCGATGCCTTTTTATATTTACAATCAAAATTATCGTTAGCCCAGCTTGTTCCTAAAATACTTACGTTGATTGCTCTCAAATATGTAGGTTGATTGACATATCATATGTGGTGAAACGTAACCGAGTTTAGGTGCATCCGAGTCACAGCTGGAATGGTAGCGCATTATTTGATCCAGGGCTTGCAACGTACTATACGTGTCGAAGGACCTCCTGCAATGCAGGATGATTTCTTGATGTTTTGGGGACTGGGAAACTTTCAATGTTGTCAAGAAGGATCTTCCGAAATCTGGTGCCCAAAATGTTGTCGCAATGCTTGAAATCTTAAAATATTTATTATAGCGTGGATCTTTCCATACCTTATATATATATGTATGTATGTATGTATGTATGTATGTATGTATGTATGTATGTATGTATGTATGTATGTATGTATGTATGTATGTATGTATGTATGTATGTATGTATGTATGTATGTATGTATGTATGTATGTATGTATGTATGTATGTATGTATGTATGTATGTATGTGTGTGTGTGTGTGTGTGTGTGTGTGTGTGGTGTGTGTGTGTGTGTGTGTGTGGTGTGTGTGTGTGTGTGGTGTGTGTGTGTGTGTGTGTGTGTGTGTGTGGTGTGTGTGTGTGTGTGTGTGTGGTGTGTGTTTGTGTGTGTGTGTGTGTGTGTGTGTGTGTGTGTGTGTGTGTGTGTGTGTGTGTGTGTGTGTGTGTGTGTGTGTGTGTGTGTGTGTGTGTGTGTGTGTGTGTGTGTGTGTGTGTGTGTGTGCATGCATGCATGCATGCATGTATGCACACACATGCACACACATGCATGCATGCATGCATGTATGTATGTATGTATGTACGTATGTATGTATGTATGTATGTATGAATGAATGTATAACTACCACTGAAGGATCTTTTGAGGCCTGCCATCTGTTTATGGCATCCAGGCACATGCTTGTCTTGCAGTGTTTTATTTTGACCGGCTACAGCTGCATCACCTGCGATAATAAGACAACCATACCAACGCTTTTTTACGCTCTCATGTCCCTCCTATATTTCTAACAAGAGGGTACTCAGGCCACCGGCTGGCGAGACAAATTCGGGTTGTCTCCCAAAAATGTGATCCTTGGCCTGTTATGCGTGTTTCAAAAGCGGTATTTCGCCCGGTTCTTGAAACATTCATTTCAATATCCACGTTCTGCCACCTGACGGCTTGCAAGGACCTGTCACAGCTGCGGTCCGCTGACCGTGCTGGCTCACCTGACGCTGCACCTGGCGCCAGCTGTCCGGTGACGTCACCTTGGCCCACAGCGTGTCCGAGTCGGGCCGCTCCCACGCCTCGACCCGCTGCTGGTCCAGGCTCAGCAGCCGGGGGAAGTACGTCAGCACCAGGATCCTGCCGCACGTCAGACCACACGCCGGCTTCAGTCGTTGCCAACACACATGACACAACAGAACGGCCGGCTGCTTGATCCCCCTGTTTTCTGCTTCATTATGACGCATCCGCAAATAGAACTTCATTGCGCGCTTCTTTAACTTAAACCCCAATTAACAGCAAAGGCTTATAAGTCAGCGAATGTGGCACGTTTATTGGCCCATCTTCCCTCGTCGGTGTCTCGACTTGCTTATGGTTTCATTTTTCATTTGCTTGGGGGGGGGGGGGTACATAAGGTATGTGAGTGCCCAGTGTCGCGAGTGACGGAAGGAACACAATCCTGCTAATCCGTACACGGGAAGGGGCGCACACAAAAAGAGGTACCACCCGGGGTTATGATTCTATCGCCCCCCCCCCCCCCCCCACACACACACTGTCCCCGTTAATCCGAATAGTAGTATCTAAACGTGGAAGTGGAACGGTTTGGACGACCGCATATGTGATTTGCAGAACGCACACAAACAGTAGCATCGTCAATCATAGCTGGCTAAGGAAACTGAGCCCCTAGATCTGCCGCGACCAAACCCACGGCCGCACTACGTGCAATTTTGAGTAAACAGGGAACGCATCATAATTCACTTTTTCTGACTACAGCCTAAAGTAATTGTATCTCTAATGTTTATATATATATATATATATATATATATATATATATTAAAGTATTTGCTGAATTCACGTCCGCACTCTAGCCATCAGAGGCAATACCAAACTATACCCTCTGAAGCATGCTTCTATCTGTCTCGTCAGTCGCGCATATGTGACCATAATGCAATGGAAAGGGACGCGAAGCGAGAAAACTTCCGAAAAAAAATAGGGCATACTATGCATTACGCTTTGCTGTAACTAGACGCTGGTGAGGCACAAAGAAGAGACCACACACTGCACACGACGTCCACTGACCTGTAGCGATAGAAGACGCCGCGCGACGAGCCGCTTACTAGCGCGGGCACGGCGGGATTTCCGATCAAGCTCAGGTGCAGGATGTTCGGGCAGTTGTACCGCAGAGCACGCAGAAATGGCGCCAAATCTGTGGACACAACACTGTTCGTGGTGCGCCTGAAATGTTTACCACTAGCCATCACAGGGCGGCACTAGGGATTTGAGCCATTTCATTCCATAATAGCTACCAAAACTGGACCACTGTCAACATTGGTTTTGTTGAACCAGTCCTAGGAGCGCCGTGTAGGTCTGCGGAGCAACGGGGAAGTTTATACATAGCATCACATGAACGCGCTTCGCAAGTGGGCAGACTCGTGGCGAAGTTATGGCAGAGACCGCACCGCATCCCAGGCAACAGCAGGCTACTTATGGCGGGCTCGAAGGCATCGGTCGGTTCTGGGCACCCGCAGTTCTCATGTCGTTCTTGCTATTTAGGGGTGGTCAGATAATGTGATAGCTCCTGTGATTATGCTCCTCCATCATTTAACACAGGGCATTAGCGGAAAATGTTGGGAGTCTCAACTTGGGGCGTTTCTTATAATAAAAAAGGCGTATTTCCTTTGTATTTTAGCCAACGTATCACGGTATGTAATTCGTTATGTTCACGCTAGTTCGTAATCGTTCTCCTAAACAGCTGACCAAAGAGGATTATCTCTGTCAGCAAATAACCGTGATGGGAAATACACGTCAAGGTGTTTGAATTTGGCTTTGTCTCGCATCTGGGGATAAGGCTGGTAAAATGACCTGTCCAAATTAGTTTACCATAGAGCTTTAAAAATGGCCCTTAAAGTCGTCTGTTACTTATTTGCCACGCCCTTATTATTTCAGCTCCGAAACGGGAAGGCCAATTATACTTAAGGCAAAAGTACACCGCACGCCGCAGTAAATGTCATTGTGCCAACAGATTACAAGAAAAAAAAACAGCCCACAGAGTGGGTGACAAAGCGAATGGCATATCTTCACTTTTTCTCTAAAAAGCTCTAAAACACCAAGAAGAGCATCGCGGACATTAATTGCAAGTTTCCCTGAGCTGGCAGAACTGAACATCACCCACTGGACGAGCTGACCTTTGACGTTGTTGTGGTTGATCCACACGGTCTTGAGGCGCGGCAGCGGAGGCGGTATGCTGCTGGAGGTGAGGCGGTTGTGATCCAGAACGAGTGTTGTCAGCCGATCGAATCGCGCCAGAAACTGCAAGTTCCTGCAACATGACAGGGGGAAAAGGGTTGGTCAGATGATTTTTATAGGCCCACAAGTTTTAACAGATTGTTTGACTTGTGCGCACATGGTTGTCGGGAACTGCTTGCAAAGCGAAAACAGGCATGAAGCTTACAAAGGCAGTCAATATTGAATTTGAGTATTGATATTGAATTTGAACTGACAATATTGAATAAATTCAGTCAGTACTTGGTGAATGTAGCGCGTATGCGTATGCTGCGCCGCTGCCTTAGATTGCCCTTACTATTCTTAACTTGCCCAATGTGTATGTCCGTCACGTCTCGCGTTGTGTCGAGCCCAAGTCCGACAGGAGTTCGCTCAAGACTGACATTCGGACACAGCGCGCGTACGTACGAGACCAAATGTGCAGCAATAAAGTTCATGGGGCGCGATCAACGGGCAGCGCACGGCACGTACTCCAAGCCGCGTTTTTGGCTTATTTTCCTTGCATGAGTGGTCTGAAAGTGAGGCCCGCGTGAACGGGCGGCCAGCCGTTCGAAGCCGTGGCCACATCTCCGAAACCGCCGTTCGGAGCGACAAGACATCGGCATATTTCGCAGATAACGAGTGGGGAATCGCATGGTGCGAAGCGTGCAATCGCCCCCGTCACATGTTAAGTGTACAAAAGCCGTCGAGATGGAACGGGCCAGTTTTGACAGTGTTTGATGTCAAATTTGACGGTCAGAGCAGGTCAAAGCATTTCGCAATTTCAAAGCCGTCCACCGACTTGCTGCATACAATTTATATGGCTAGTAAAACTCTGTGTCGTGCAGTGTAGCGCAGAAAATCGTCGGACAAGCCGGGAGTATCTAAATTTTGAAAAAGCCGTGCCAAATGCAGCACACTGTCGAAAAACTCGCCAGGGTCGCGGCAAACTCCACATTGTGCGTGCGTGCGTGCGTGCGTGCGTGCGTGCGTGCGTGCGTGCGTGCGTGCGTGCGTGCGTGTGCGTGTGTGTGTGTGTGTGTGTCGAATAGCATTTACTGTTCTCCATTATATCTGTCAGTATTTTCCTTAAAATACAAACGTCGAACACTCTCTTTCAAGGGGCTGCTCAACATTTGCATGGGGCTCTGAGATTGTTTTCAAGATCATTATCTGCAGTTCACAGTCTTGGTGTTCAGCATTTTACAGTCCACGATTCTCACTTGGTGGCCACAGATCGGATCGTGTGACACCGGACGCTACTCTTCATTCGCTGAATGCCTCCTTTGTCAGCATGGGCCCTCGTGTGCCTGGCGAAGTGACAAGTCGGGACCGGTGGCGGAACACCACCCAAACTTTCGGTCGCTTGCCTCGTGTCGGTGCCTGCGCCCTGGCCTTGTCACCCCGCTTGCTGTACGAGTTGCGAGCCATAGTTTTGGGCACGAACAGCTCCTCTGCCAGTAACGAGGATGGCATCTGCCTGCGCGTTGTCTAAGTTTTGACGGCCTCGGCACGATATTTCTTCATCTCGTCAACTTTCCCTCTCAAACGTTCTGACATCCTGGAAACATTCTTCGGCACCCAACTGCACGTCCGACGATCACACCACATCTTCCAATTACCGCCCAATATCCATCGTTCCAGTGATTGCCAAAATCGAAAAGCGCGTTATCCATCAGCAGTTGCATCATTTCCTCTCCTTCACCATCTCGTCTCCTCTTTCCAAACGGTTTCCGTCCCCTCCATTCCATGGATGACGCGTTCTCCACCATTTCCGACCACATCCTATCTGCGAACGGCCGTGGAGAAATATCGTTGCTCTGTTTTTAAATATCAGCAAGTGCCTCGATGTGACAGACCGCTTAAAACATCCCGCACAGGCTGTCCGCTCATGATGTTGCTGCCTCTTGGCTTTTTGGCCTACCTTCGCAATCGCACCGAAACGTCAGTCTCACTGACCGCACGGGTACCCCGAAAATCCCTGCAAAGCTGAAAAAAACACTGGCATATTTCAGGGTTTCACACTGGCCTCTCCTCTCCAGCGTGTTCTCGAACTATCTGTCTTTTCGCGGGGACACTGGTGGACCAGTGCGCGGATGATACCTCGCTTTCGGTAAGAGGTGTTGAATATTGCCGCAAAACTCATTTTCGGCCGCAAAACGTATGCTATATGTCGGACCTGCATCAGAGGCTTGGCTGGCTCCCTGCTACGGATCTGGGCAGATATCACACCACCTCACTCACCCACAAGGTCCTCAATGCGGGCGAGCCGGAGTCGCACGAACCAAGTGCTCTGCACTGCTCCACATACTCCGCACTGTGGGTGAAGTGCACGATCGACCCGCGGGGCGGAGCAGTGAACTGTTTTTACCTCGCTCGCGAACTGAGATGGGAAATGCGTTTTCTTACCGCGCACCCAAGATGTATCACGAACTCCGGACTTACTTTCGACAACTTCCGACAGTCCTTTCCCCAGGCAGTTGGAGCGACATCTCGTGGGACATCCGAGGATACGATGACCTGTTTGTACGGCGGAGTCGTGACTGGTGTGCCTGTGCGTGTGTTTCAGGAAGCTTGTTTTTTAATGAATGTGTTTATCCTAATGACCTTTTGGTCGTCCATTTATTTGCTGACGACGGGTAGTAATAGCCCGAAGTTTATTCAGGACAGCCCAAATACACGTCAACGACCAGGTCCATCTTTTGCGGCCATCTGACCTTGTGTGCCAGTGTATGATGGTGTGCAAAACAGCGACAGTGTAGCACACTCATGTCAAATCTTAATTGAAAATTTGCGTTTTTGATATAAGTTTTATGCTTTTGAATTATTTTCGGCGTTATGTGCTATAACCCAGTCCCTCCCACAAGGACAGTTTTATTCTGCAAACGTGTCAGGAACTCAAGTCACGTGCTACACCACAGCCCACTACGGTATGACATGGGTGTATCCACGCCGCATGTGTAGGGCCGAGAGGGCCCTGTTGGGAAACAGCTCATCCGCTCTTCGTACAAATTTAACGTTAACCTTTCGTTGATGCCCAGCGGGAGATTAGCTTCTTATTCATGAGGGGCTAATCTCATTGGGGCTTTACGACGCACCCAACTGTTGAGGCAGTATGGCGTCGCCTGCCTCTCACCCTGGCAGGAACGGCGGCCATCGCGGGGAATCCAACCACGCACTAGGGAGGGGATCCATCCTTGCCTGAGGCAAGTGGGTCATGGCACATTTTGGGGTAGATTTTATAATTTTCCCTACTCAGCCCTCCCCACTTATTTTGCAAAACTGCGCCCCTGATGCCAGGGAATAGGGGTCCATTGGGCATAGCTTCATGTTCAGTTGAGGGGAAAGGGGCTTCGCTATCCCCCTCCCCAACTTGGGCTCCCGCCCTCCCCCTTCCTCCGAACTTGGTTCCAGCCCCTCTTTAACTTAACCTTACCCCCACTCCATTATGACAAGTGGATCAAATCCGGAAATAAACTAGTCTGTTGGCTTTCAGAAGCAGGTTGTCATTTTTTCGCACGTCAGCTTTCACGACAAATGTGGAAGGTGGGATATGGGATATGATGTGGTGGGTGGGATATTTCTTTCAAGCTCCTTAATGACTTATTTTTTGCCACATTATTCGGTATCAATACATCCATCACAAATACTGAGCAGGTTCGTGGTGGAAGTCAGGCCATGGACTCAGCGAATTCAATTTCTAAGGAATCGTTCGATCTGATGGAACAAAAAAGTGTTAGACGAAGCCATACGTCTCTGAGATACTTTCTAAGACAACACAACAACTGAATGACCAAATTCCACTGATCTAGGGTCAGGTATGGAGGTCAGACGAAGGCCACACCAAGCTGTTTTATTGCTCTAGGGCTTGCTCTATGGGTTAATTTCTGGTGCTCATTTCCAACTGATTGACAACAGAAACCGCTTAACATATATACATATACATATGTATATAGATATAGATAGATAGATAGATATATATATATATATATATATATATATATATACATATATATATATATATGTGTGTGTGTGTGTGTGTGTATATGTATATATATATATATATATATATATATATAAATTCAATGAACTTATCTGATGGCATAATAGGAAACTGATCTACAATGACCTAGGTGAAGATAACATTTTTACGAACATGCTGCCTAGCGTAATATTCGTTGCTTATTCAAATGCAAAACTCAAAGTGACCTATAATTGTGGTTACCATGACGTTCGAAAGGCCAAACAAAGTTACTTACCTTACATGAGTATGTGACCTTTTGTTTAGGACAGGTATCTAGGTTCTAGCGACACTTCGGGGACCAACCTTGAGTTAGACCTTGTTTGACCTTACTTGACCCGAAGGTCATGACCTAGGAACCTCAAGCTTTGACCTACGTGAGTTCACGCACAGGCTAACACACCCTGTGTATTTGGTGTCTCTAGCCCTTTTAATTCCTGAGATCTCAGAGGGATCAAATTGACCCCAACCCCTGCGAAGCGTATCCAACGGGCGCGTGTTAATGGGTCCCATACACGTCAGAATAGGCCCTTTGCAGGACAAAATAGGCCCTCGACTGTCACTAATGGGCCCATTACAGGTCAGAATGGGCCCGCTACAGTTCGGAACGGGACTTCTACGAATGGGCCTCGTTAGTCCAAAATGTACTCTTTACAGGACAGAATTGGCCCTCTGCAGGCCTGAATGAGTACCTCTACAGACCAGGATGTGGTCATCATAGTCGATAATATGCTCTTTTCATGTTAGAATGAGTCATCTACGGGCTACAAAAGGCCCTCTACGGGCCAGACTGGGCCCTCCGCAGGCCAGAATGGGCTCACCACAGTCAATAATGGGCAACCCTCTACCGTTCAGAATGCGCCCTCTACAGGTCATAATCGGCCCTCCACAGCCAAAAATCACACCTCTACAGGCCAAAATGGACCTTCAACAGTCAATTCTGGGTCCTTCACAAGCTTGAATAGGCCACTGTACACGCCAAAATGGTCCATCCGCAGTCGGAAATAGGCCTTCCACAGGCCAGAATGGGCCCTCTATGGGCCAGGATGCGCCCTCCAGCCACCCTCCATAGGCCATCCAAATTGGGGGGAACCCACCCCACGCTTTCAAGTTGAGGGGGAGTTGCCCCCACTGTCTCCCTCTCCCCCATCCATTCCCGCGTCCTTGGGTGAGTCCTTGAATCTATGATGCCCAGGCCGTGTAAAAGCCGGCAGAAGGCAGGGCTGGTAAGGGGTCCTCTTCAACCCGCAGGGGCCATCTAAAGCCGCCGAAGACCCTCTATAGATTGGCGGGGCCCTAAATGCTGTCAGAGGGCCCAGCACAGATCGGTAGGGTCACCTAAATACCGATGGAGGCCCTCCTCAGGTCGGCAGGCCCCATACAAATGCCGGCCGAGGCCCACAACTGATTGGCAGGGTCCTCTTCTAAAGGTTAAAGGCCATAGCGGCCCGTTGGTCTCTAGGAGTCAGGGCCCCTTGTCCTCTCCCTTGACTATTGCTCCCACCCAACTCATCCTGCGAAACTGCATTCCGAAGGGACCTGAAAAGGGTGTTCGGCCCGCACACTTCTTGGGCCGCAACTACGCCCCTGGCACGGGTGAGCAATGTTCTGCAGTCGGGTAAAACCGGGAATGGGGACAGGTCCCGGAGCTGTTGTGTGACGCAACACAGCTGGCCGCCGCGACCTCTGGCGGCGAGGCCGCGCAGTGGGGCGGCACACGACGCGTCCTCATCTGCACCCGTCCTCACCTGATCTTGTTGTGGCTGAGATCGAGGTACTCGACCCGCGCGCCGTGCTGATCCGCTACGTAGTTAGAGACGTCCGTCAGGTCGCGGTAGGCCAGGCTGAGTACCGCCTCATCGGGGCCGCTCTTGGCCGGCTCGCGTCGGAATTCGTCCGCCTCGCCCATCTCGCGCCCCTCGGCCACCTGTCTCCCAAGCTCCGCACCGCGCATACGGCAACTGGAGCACCGTCGCGCCCGCACCTGACGCCGCCAACACGTAAACACAGTCCTCGGCAGACATCAATATGGCGGCCGCTGCGCGCGCGCGCCGCCGCCCGCCGCAGCGCAGAGGCGCAGTCAGGCAGCGGGCGGGTTCCGGCCGGCACGGCTGCCGGTTGCCTCTCGCCCCTCGGCCGCGCCGGCCGGACCGGGCGGGTTGCTGGACCGCTCGCGGTCAGCCGCGGAGCAGCTGCGAGCTCAGAAGGCGGGCGTCTGCGGGGAAGGGACTGAGGCAGGCCGACCACGTGCGGCACTGCCGATCCGCGTGGTTGCGACTGGCGTAGTGGATGGGTTCTTGTCATCCGAGGCGACCATCGGTGGTCACCTTACGCTGGAAGTCGGCTGGATACACTGCCGCAAATGAATGATGTGTTAAAGTGATGCCTCTTCCACGGGCCGGCAGGTTGTGCGTCGTATCAAGACGACGAGTCGGCAAACCCCAGGGCTACTAAGAGAACAGTGTCATGAATGCCAGGAGCGGTGCGTGTGTGTGTGGGGGGGGGGGGGGTGTCTCCTGACCCCCAGCCGAGTGGACGTGGCTGTGCTAAAATACCTCTTTTTCCGTGGGGTCGGATACCATGAAAGCTGTGTGTTGTGTCCCGGTATATGCCGTAGGCTCTCTGACAATGTAACAATATCGGGCTCGCAAATAAGTCGTGAATAGGTAAACAAAACCTGCGGTGTAAAACTAAGGTTTATACTGTGTGGTCGAAATGAAGGTTAACTGACGTTTTACTCAATGGTGACAAGTGTATTTATCGCACAACCAAGGCAGTGGTGGCATTCGAATGATCATTCAGTCGTAAACATGATCACAACATAGGCAGTCATCAGTGATATCACTTTCGTCAAAACATGACCGCGCAGAGAATGGTTCTCTGAGGACAAAAACGAGGCTCCTATCAGACCCACCTTATTGCGCTATATCGCTACCGCTTCGATGCTCTTCTGGACGGCCCTGGTGCGACTCCACCGTGTCGATAGGGACGAAGAGTGGCTTCAGCAGGACAAGGTGACACCGCACACGGCACACGGACTTCATTTAATTGCTTGGAGGCAGGGGCGTCACTTTGTGTGCTTTCGGGGGGGAAGAGGGGGCCTGAGATCCTGTCTTCATCCCGATTAAGCACCACCTCCACCTCCCCCCCCCCCCCCCCCCTATGGCATATGAGCAAAACAAGGATACGCTGCGCCAATGAAAAGCAGCGGGTGTCTAACCTGCTGGTGCACTAGGTACCTAAACTTTAAAAAAGTTCCTATTTTTACATCAGGGATGCAGAATTAAAGTGGCCGAAATTCCGGAAAAGTCAGGATTTCGGGTTAGGTTAGGTCAACGTTTTTATTGACTTCCCCTGGCGGTTCGCCGGGCAACCGCAGCTTCCCCGGAAGTCCGCCGTCGCTGGCGCAATGTCGTCTGTCCCGGGCGCAATGTCGTCTGTCCCGGGCGCAATGTCGTCTGTCCCGGGCGCTGGCGACCCAGCGCAAGCTTCGTCACGCGGCGCTGGCGCCACTTATAACTCGCCCCTTAGAGGCGATGCCCTTGAGAATGCGCACGATCAGTGACTGTGGCTAGTGACGTGCTGGTGGCAAGCTCACCTTGGTCCTTCTATGGGTTTTTCGTGCACAAGTCACCGATAGTGGGTCGGTGGTTTGCTGTATTGCCTGTTCAGTGGCCGCAAAATCTCTTAAAAGTTGGAGAAAATGTCGGGTATCCAGTGGTTTCATTCTGCTCAACGCCATATTCACAGCTATAAGGCTGGTATTAAATTATAAGAATCATGCGTCTGGTTGCACATGCACGATCACACTGCGCGGGTATGTTAGAACATTTAGATCCTTGACGTATATCCGACTCCATCAAGCAGCCCGCACACACCACAAATAATCACGGAACCCAGAGCCGACCGCGGTTGTCGAAAACGCCGGAGGCATGCGCGCCAGCATCGCCCGTGGCGGTCGGCAGCTGCGGTGAAACCCCACCCTACGGGGTACTACCGGAAGGGCGTGAGCCGCACCCCATTGGGTACAACGGCACCCGAACCCCGCCGGGTTCGCTCTAACGTGACAGGTAGGCGGTTAGATAACGGCCCCGCCATGGCTTGCTGTGAGCGCAGCGGAACCAGCCCACCGGCAGCGGTCGGCGGCGGCAATGTATCCAAGCGTGCAGCTTGCTGAAGAGGAAGGTGCATGAGATATACGCCTCAGCACCTTTGGTATAGGCATCCCACCATAGAACTGGGCCTTAATCGCTTTAAACTCCTTTAAAATTGGTTGCAACTTTCTTTTTCTCAGCGATGTTTCACGCGACCCCTTCCCCGTGCGCGGCCATGGCGCTGTCAAGACGACATTCGCGTTGACAGTCGTCAAAGTCGTTCAGAAACATGAACATGTTTGTGCACGACTCTAATGTGACAGCCAACTTCATGAATGAAATCACGTAGGCTTATTCATTGCACCGTCTTGTCTAGTTCTGTGAAGTCAAGCAACTCCTCCTGCAAAGCTCTCCTGCATTTTACAACGCGCCAGGATTGACAACATTTGAGAACCAAAAATGTTGGTTATCCGCTAAACGTTTACACAAAATCTGAACACTCAAAGGTTGAAACTTTTCAGAATCAGATCAGTGGTGAAATCAGAATCAGATCAGCAAATGTATTTCAATTCCAGAATTGACTCCGTTCCATTGGAATCATTTACGGATTAAGTTCCAGGATCTCTGTGGAATGGGGCCGTGCAAATTAGTTTCAGTTTGAACGGGCTGCCGGCAGGGTGCCCGAATACATTCCACCAGACTGAAATTGGCATAAGTCTGAGCTGAAAATAAATCTCTGCTATACGGATTTCTGCCCTACGCGAACTTCCGCGATATGAAACTATGCTCTAAACCGGTCTCTCATTTGCAATCCTTTCGGCTGGACAACCTTCCGCAATGCGAGGCTTTGTGGGAAAATAAGTCCACACAGGCAAGTTTCAGCGTGACTAACTTTCGCCCGGGGGTAGTGGCACGGGGTGTCCAGTAATTGGCATGGGCACTTGGCACGGGGTGTCCAGTAATTGGCATGGGGACTTGGCACGGGGTGTCCAGTAATTGGCATGGGCACTTGGCACGGGGTGTCCAGTAATTGGCATGGGGACTCCAGTTCGGCGTATCGGACCTCTCACTAAAATGGGGCGGAGGCCCCCTCCCCACCACTGCGTTCGACGTTCAGTACTGGTGCTCCTAGTCGACGCACCAGTACTGTACCACTAGTCGGGCCCTTTCACTGTCTGATTGTGGGATACGGGCTCTTCGTCGTGAATTCTCATGTCGGATTTTATTGCCGGGAAAGACCTGTCTAACGTAAGGGGCCCCTGTTGTTCGGATGCGACCCCTTTCCCTGTGAATTAACTCTGGCAGGCTTGGGAGTCTGTTTTTGGGGAGGAAAACGTTTTTCGCACTTTGGGACCGTGACCGACGCAGGAATCTCCTGATTGTTTCAGGGGCTCCGACCGATGCGAATCGCGGCCACCAGCCCTGTCCATGCTCAGGAAAATGGCCCTCCGAGCCCTAACCGACGCGGAGCCTTCTGTTTGACGCTGGTGATCCTTTGATTGGCGTACAGGCCCGCGTTGTCCCAGGGGACCTGCTCGATCGGCGCCCCAGGCTGACATTTGGGGGCTCGGCTTCGCGGGTGGTTGCCTCTTGATGCCAACTGGCCTTTGATCGTTGGTTCCGAGGGTGCACAAAGCATCCGATGCAAAGCATTCGGTTTTTTATCTGGGTGTGCTGGATCAGCGGGAGAGTTACGAGGAAATAAGAAAAAAAGTGCATCGCAGAAGAGCACTAGAACAAAATACAACGCTTTGATTACAAAGTTCTAATGCAACCCCGTGGCAGGTCCTGGCTTAGGGGCTGTAACCGGTGCAACGGCATTTGAAAAATGATCAAAACTTGCATGGCATAACTAATGAGCAGTCTGTAAGGCAACACAAACGAATCCAGAGCCTACCTAAATCCTTCCTTTTTCCTTTTTAAGGCTTCTAGTTAAACCCTCCCTTTCCGTGCAAACTTGGTATTTGGTGGTTCAATGAGCTTTACATTGCTCTTGGTGAACCAGCGCAAACTTTCTATGAAAACTTATAACCAGCCAAGACTCGCCAGGCATGCCGCAATAGTGTCACATTAGGCCTCGTCTGGCCCTAAGGTAGGATTGGTGCGCATCACTAATGCAGAAATCACCTGCGTTTCTACAAAATGACCCGCGCCGATTGGCTACCATGACTTGTTTGGGCGTCTGGGCAGATCATCTGCGTCAGCGTCATCAGCGGCAGCGTCATCTGCCGCTGGGCAAATTTCTCCAAATTAACACCAAGCCAGGGTGCACTTTCAGTTGCCATTTGCAACGTGTGACCCCAAGCCATCATTTTCACCCTCAAAACCGCATAAGCCGCCTTGAGGCATTGCAGCCAACCCCGAGCTAGAAAACTGCTCGACCATTCTTCCCAGAATCTTTGCCAACAGAAAGAGCGTGTCCGGCTTCGTCAGCCGTTCTGAAAATGAAACACCATCTTAACTTGATTCTCTCTCTCTCTCTCTCTCTCTCTCTCTCCGCTCTACTCTCTCTCTCTCTCTCTCTCTCTCTCTCTCTCTCTCTCTCTCTCTCTCTCTCTCTCTCTCTCTCTCTCTCTCTCTCTCTCTCTCTCTCTCTCTCTCTCTCATCGCTCTCTCTCTCTCTCCTCTCTCTCTCCTCTCTCTATTCTCTCTCTCTCTCTCTCTCTCTCTCACTCTCTCTCCTTCTCTCTCTCTCTCTTCTCTATCTCTCTCCTATCTCTCCTATCTCTCCTCTCTTCTCTCTCTCTCTCTCTCCTCTCTCTCTCTCTCTCTCTCTCTCTCTCTCTCTCTCTCTCTTCTCTCTCTCTCCCTCTCTCTCTATCTCTCTCTCTCTATCTCTCTCGCTCTCGCTTCTCTCTCTCTTCTCTCTCTCTCTATCTCCTCTCTCTCTCTCTCTCTCTCTTCGCTTCTCTCTCTCTCTCTCTCTCTCTCTCTCTCTCTC